ATTAATGTAACTCTTTGCATACATGTCTCACTCCATCGTCTACAGTTAGTTCAAAATGCTGCATCTGGGCTTTTAACAGGCACGAGAAAATGTATGCATATCATATCTATTTTAGCTTCTCTACACTGGCTACCAGACACCATTTTGGAAAATTGTATTAATCACGTTTAAGGCTTGGTAAATCCCATCCTATATCTCTCATCTTTTATCTCCCTACGAGCCGGAACGCAGCCTGAGATCCCCTGGCAGGGCACTCTTGACCATTCCAAAGTCTAGGTTGAAAACGAAAGGAGACTGGGCATTTGCCATTAGGGCCCCTAGACTTTGGAAAGGTCTTCCAGAGGAGATTAGCCTTGCAGACACAGTGCCTCTTTTTAAATCCTTGCTGAACATACACTTTAATAAAGATGCTTTTAATGTATGATTTCAATGAATGATTTTAATTATCTATTCCTCCTGTCTTTGTTTCTTTGTTAGTACTTTTATTTTATTATTTTATGATGGGAAGCACTTTGTTACCTGTATTGAAAAGCGTTATACAAATTAATTATTATTATTATTATTACAGAGAATGCACAGGAAATCTGACCTGACACTTTGTGACTTGACAATTGTGTATTGGTACACACTAACGCCGTGAGGGAAAAATATTTCATCCCCTGCTGATTTTGTACGTTTGCCCACTGACAAAGAAATGATCAGTCTATAATTTTAATGGTAGGTTTATTTGAGACAGAATAACAACAAAAAAATCCAGAAAAACCCATGTCAAAAATGTTATAAATTGATTTGCATTTTAATGAGGGAAATAAGTATTTGACCCCCTCTCAATCAGAAAGATTTCTGGCTCCCAGGTGTCTTTTATACAGGTAACGAGCTGAGATTAGGAGCACACTCTTAAAGGGAGTGCTCCTAATCTCAGCTTGTTACCTGTATAAAAGACACCTGTCCACAGAAGCAATCAATCAATCAGATTCCAAACCACCATGGCCAAGACCAAAGAGCTCTCCAAGGATGTCAGGGACACGATTGTAGACCTACACAAGGCTGGAATGGGCTACAAGACCATCGCCAAGCAGCTTGGTGAGAAGGTGACAATAGTTGGTGCGATTATTCGCAAATGGAAGAAACACAAAAAACCCTTGCGGGCACTGCAGAAAGCACATATACATGAAAGCACATATACAGTGGGGAGAACAAGTATTTGATACACTGACGATTTTACAGGTTTTCCTACTTACAAAGCATGTAGAGGTCTGTAGTTTTTATCATAGGTACACTTCAACTGTGAGAGACGGAATCTAAAACAAAAATCCAGAAAATCACATTGTATGATTTTTAAGTAATTAATTTGCATTTTATTGCATGACATGAGTATTCGATACATCAGAAAAGCAGAACTTAATATTTGGTACAGAAACCTTTGTTTGCAATTACAGAGATCATACGTTTCCTGTAGGTCTTGACCAGGTTTGCACACACTGCAGCAGGGATTTTGGCCCACTCCTCAATACAGACCTTCTCCAGTTCCTTCAGTTTCGGGGCTGTCGCTGGGCAATACAGACTTTCAGCTCCCTCCAAATATTTTCTATTGGGTTCAGGTCTGGAGACTGGCTAGGCCACTCCAGGACCTTGAGATGCTTCTTACGGAGCCACTCCTTAGTTGCCCTGGCTGTGTGTTTCGGGTCGTTGTCATGCTGGAAGACCCAGCCACGACCCATCTTCAATGCTCTTACTGAGGGAAGGAGGTTGTTGGCCAAGATCTCGCGATACATGGCCCCATCCATCCTCCCCTCAATACGGTGCAGTCGTCCTGTCCCCTTTGCAGAAAAGCATCCCCAAAGAATGATGTTTCCACCTCCATGCTTCACCGTTGGGATAGTGTTCTTGGGGTTGTACTCATCCTTCTTCTTCCTCCAAACACAGCGAGTGGAGTTTAGACCAAAAGGCTCTATTTTTGTCTCATCAGACCACATGACCTTCTCCCATTCCTCCTCTGGATCATCCAGATGGTCATTGGCAAACTTCAGACAGGCCTGGACATGCACTGGCTTGAGCAGGGGGACCTTGCGTGCGCTGCAGGATTTTAATCCATGACGGCGTAGTGTGTTACTAATGGTTTTCTTTGAGACTGTGGTCCCAGCTCTCTTCAGGTCATTGACCAGGTCCTGCCGTGTAGTTCTGGGCTGATCCCGCACCTTCCTCATGATCATTGATGCCCCACGAGGTGAGATCTTGCATGGAGCCCCAGACCGAGGGTGATTGACCGTCATCTTGAACTTCTTCCATTTTCTAATAATTGTGCCAACAGTTGTTGCCTTCTCACCAAGCTGCTTGCCTATTGTCCTGTAGCCCGTCCCAGCCTTGTGCAGGTCTACAATTTTATCCCTGATGTCCTTACACAGCTCTCTGGTCTTGGCCATTGTGGAGAGGTTGGAGTCTGTTTGATTGAGTGTGTGGACAGGTGTCTTTTATATAGGTAACGAGTTCAAACAGGTGCAGTTAATACAGGTAATGAGTGGAGAACAGGAGGGCTTCTTAAAGAAAAACTAACAGGTCTGTGAGAGCCGGAATTCTTACTGGTTGGTAGGTGATCAAATACTTATGTCATGCAATAAAATGCAAATTAATTACTTAAAAATCATACAATGTGATTTTCTGGATTTTTGTTTTAGATTCCGTCTCTCACAGTTGAAGTGTACCTATGATAAAAATTACAGACCTCTACATGCTTTGTAAGTAGGAAAACCTGCAAAATCAGCAGTGTATCTAATACTTGTTCTCCCCACTGTACATGCCCGTCTGAAGTTTGCCAATGAACATCTGAATGATTCAGAGGAGAACTGGGTGAAAGTGTTGTGGTCAGATGAGACCAAAATTGAGCTCTTTGGCATCAACTCAACTCGCCGTGTTTGGAGGAGGAGGTATGCTGCCTATGACCCAAGAACACCATCCCCACCATCAAACATGGAAACATTATGCTTTGGGGGTGTTTTTCTGCTAAGGGGACAGGACAACTTCACCGCATCAAAGGGACAATGGACGGGGCCATGTACCGTCAAATCTTGGGTGAGAACCTCCTTCCCTCAGCCAGGGCATTGAAAATGGGTCGTGGATGGGTATTCCAGCATGACAATGACCCAAAACACACGGCCAAGGCAACAAAGGAGTGGCTCAAGAAGAAGGACATTAAGGTCCTGGAGTGGCCTAGCCAGTCTCCAGACCTTAATCCCATAGAAAATCTGTGGAGGGAGCTGAAGGTTCGAGTTGCCAAACATCAGCCTCAAAACCTTAATGACTTGGAAAAGATCTGCAAAGAGGAGTGGGACAAAATCCCTCCTGAGGTGTGTGCAAACCTGCAGGCCAACTACAAGAAACATCTGACCTCTGTGATTGCCAACAAGGGTTTTGCCACCAAGTACTAAATCATGTTTTGCAGAGGGATCAAATACTTATTTCCCTCATTAAAATGCAAATACATTTATAACATTTTTGACATGCGTTTTTCTGGATTTTTTGTTGTTATTCTGTCTCTCACTGTTCAAATAAACCTACCATTAAAATTATAGACTGATCATGTCTTTGTCAGTGGGCAAACGTACAAAATCAGCAGGGGATCAAATACTTTTTTCCCTCACTGTACCTATCACGTGGATATGTACTTTATGTTTCCACTGTGGTTAACTACTGTTCTAACAAGATCACTTTATTCATAAATTGTACACAATGTCCAACCAAAATTGGACTTCTGCTTTTAACCCAACCCCTCTGAAAGACACTATAACATACAGGTTGGAGAGGTTGGAGTAAGGGGCTGCCACACTGGGCGCCCGTGGAGCAGTTATAGTTTTTTTCCAGTCGAACTGGCAACCCTTCGGTTACTGGCTCACCTCTCTAACAGCTAGGTTACATGCTGCCCCAACAGTACCAGTAGTTCCATCTAAGGGAAGTCTTTGTTGTTTCAGTTAAATGTGTGAAAACGTTCGTTCATGTGGAAAAAATGGGTTTAGATTCCCTTGAGTTTACTACAGACCAAAAAATGAGTTATTCTGTGGTGCGTGTTTATGAATGTGCATGTGTGTGCATACACGTGCGTCAGTCCGAGGGAAAGGATAGGTTCATTTAGCATTTCAAGCTTTCCAAAAAGCCAATTTCTTTCTAGATAGGCTCATAGGGATTTTATTGGTAGTTATTTGTCAGACTTCTAGCTTCCATTGATTGAGTGGAATAAAATTTTTTGAATCTCCTAGTTGGCCGATATGTGAACAAAAACATGTAGTAAGTTACCTCCTGCATTGTCAAAGTTTGGTATCCCATGTAGAATGATACAATTCAGGAACAGTGGAGAGGCATTGATTTTCATCGACCCACTCAGGAGACTGTTCAGGATCCAAACGTACCTGGCATAGCAGAATAGTAGAGATACAGTTATCCACACAATAGCTAGCAAGAGGATCCTCACTAGCTAAACCCCTCCGCATATACTGTAGGTTGAAGTAGACAACAACAGATCACTTACAACAATGACATCAATGGATGGGTTCAACCATGACAAGTATAACAGAGATACTGTAGTACACATGGGATTATTACTTTTCTGAAGATCCATTGAGGTTGTGTGTTTATGATGGGAACATTCTTACTAAGGCGCCCACGGTGTGACTGAGTCACAGTGACTCAGTGTGATGCAGCGGGATAAGATTACACCAGGTCACCACGGGATCCCATTCTGTTTCAATTACTCACAATGGCAGGACTGTCATGGGCCCTTTTCTATGGGAATGAATTAACAAGACCAAGACACGCAATAGGTTTTCTATTGGCTCAGGTGGGACAGAGACCTGAACTTGCCCTAGGGTGGGCGGAGAGAGATGTGTGTGTGGGTGTGTGTGTGTTGGGTGTGGAAAAACACCTTTACCTCGCCATCCTTATCACACAACGGACATTCTCTCAATACTAAAAGAGTAGATTCATATTATGCCTGAGAAGAGGCCTTACCTTTTCTGAGAGGGTGTCATCAATGCTGAGACCTTGTCATCGTAGTACTTCCTCATTGCAAAACGGTCCAGGGCCTGATCAGCACTACGCGAGACAGACACAGAAATGATTTAGGCTTAAACACTGACTTACCCTCCTGTTTAGGCTTAAACACTGACAGGGTAAGCACGACAATCATGGTTGGTAAGCTTTAGTTTTAAATAAGAGTGAATTAAACGGAACTGAGCGTAAGTCATCTGCCTATTACCAGAAACACTCCTGGCTGACTGAGTGGAGTAAACACTGTAAACAAACATAGGCAAATATTCAATATACAGTCAAGGTCCAAAAGTATTGGCACCCTTGATAAAGATGAGCAAAAAAAAACTGTACAATATTAATAATACACATACTGAGCTATATTGTATGCAAAAAAAGGGGAAAAGTTATTACTTTACACAAATACAATGAGATTGGAGAAGACATTGGGAGGGATCTTAGACCATTCCTCCATACATAATTTTTTTTAAACACTAGAACCGCTGGGCCTCAACGGACCCCCCTTCAAGCTAATGAGTCATTCTGATGGCAACATTCTAACAGTGTAATTAATATGTTTCATATATGCTATTGCAAAAATAATCATTTGATTGTGTTTATGAAGGCCTTGGGTAACATTAGAATACTCTTTTTTATTTTATTTCAAATAACACAATAGCATTTTCATTAGTTTATGTTACTGTAGGATATATACAAATATACCAAAATTCTAGTTTTCAATCCATTTTATTCGTGGAGTGCCTTTGTTACAACTATGAAACAGAAAGCATATTTATTGAAACATGGTAACAGCTTCTTTTTATAACAACAACAAAAAAAAGAATACATTATAATGAATATACAGTAAGTGTCGATATGACAGCAGTCAAAAATAGTCAATTATTCTTCACGCAATGGCCTCAGTTGGATTTCATTTAGCTGCTATCCCTTGTCCTGACAGATGACACAATTTCTGTAACTTTCACTTGCTTGACACACTTTGACATACTGTACACTCTTAGAAAAAAGTGTTCCAAAAGGGTTATTTGTCTGTCCCCATAGGAGAACCCTTTTGGGTTCCAGGTAGAACCCTCTGTGGAAAGGGTTCTATATGGAACCCAAAAGGATTCTACCTGGAACCAAAAATGGTTATTCAAAAGGTTCTCCTAAGAGGACAGCCGAAGAACCCTTTTAGGTTCTAGATAGCACCTTTTGTTCTAAGAGTGTACCTTTGTTTGGTTGTAGTGTGTAATAGTCTCCAGTTTTCTCTTTATTGTTTCCTGTCTTCTTGTCATTATTCAGCCCTGTTGCACAATGGCTGTGCAGGTGCCTTATTTTGCACAAAGGGAGGGAGCTCCCGTCTCGCTTTGTTCATGGTGCCGACTAGGCTTGTTTTATTTGCAAGCGTCTTGTTCACCAATGACAGTGAAGTGAAGAAATTGTCCACTGTGACATTTCTCCCCTTGCCAACGTAAGGTTCCACAAGCCTCATCACCACATTCTCCGACACCCGCTCACCTGCTGCCCAATGTGGATATTTTCACAAATATTAAAAGCCGTTCAGCATGTACAATTACGCACGCTCTCACTGTGTAGCCTACTCCAAGTAGGCCAGAGTAGACTAATAAGATGCTTTGATTTGGTGGACTGATACAGGGTACATACCATTTAAAGATTATAATTAGAATGGATCAATACAATAGAATGGCCCGCCCTGTTCTTCATTCACAATTGGTGATTACATCATTATGAATCGTTCGCTTTTGCTCATCAACTCACCCATTCTCCTCCTTTCTCCCCATCATACTCTGTTGTTATACAGTACCAGTAACAAGTTTGGACACACCTACTCATTCAAGGGTTTTTCATTATTTGTACTATTTTCTACATTGTAGAATAATAGTGAAGACATCAAAACTATGAAATAACACATATGGAATCGTGTAGTAACCAAATAAAATATATTTTATATTTTATATTCTTCAAAGTAGCCACCCTTTGCCTTGATGACAGCTTTGCACGCTCTTGGCATTCTCTCAACCAGCTTCAACTGGAATGCTTTTCCAACAGTCTTGAAGGAGTTCCCACATATGCTGAGCACTTGTTGGCTGCTTTTTCCAACTCATCCCAAACACTCAATTGGGTGAGGTCGGGTGATTGTGGAGGCCACAAAGACAGCGGTTGGAACCATAAATCTCACATTTGCCACAGCAGTTGCTAGAGCGCGATGGGACAAGAACATCCCGACGCCCAAACCCTCCCCTAACCCGGACGACGCTGGGCCAATTGTGTGCCGCCTCATGGGTCTCCCGGTCGCGGTCAGCTGCGACACAGCCCGGGATCGAACCTGGGTCTGTAGTGACGCCTCAAGCACTGCGATGCAGTGCCTAAGACCGCTGTGCCAGTACAAGGACATTTTAGCCAAAAACATACACACACACACACACACACACACACACACACACACACACACACACACACACACACACACATACACACACACTCTCTCCATTTTCCATCTCTTCTTCATCATTTTCTTTTTCTCTACCCTCTCTCTCTCTGACCCTGTCACCCTGTGAATAGTCTCTCCCATAGGGAGCAAAACAGCAGGGGGAACGTTGATTGACAAAACCCAACCCGGCCTCGACCAATGTGTACCCATATAAAAACAGGGTCTGTGTGCAGAAAGGATCTCCATAAGTGCATAAGACAAGACACACACAAACACACACAGCACTTCCCTTTAACTTATAAACCACTTTCTGCCTTAATGTTTGCTGTCAGTTGATGACTTTAGGGATTGCTCTGCATGGACTTTCAGACTGGAAATTACCATGTGTTAATATCATTCATCTCTGTTTGTGAGGAGAAATTATTTTGAACTCAAGTGCCTTACTGAAACTCATATTTCATTACAAAATTCATTTCCAGGTCCATTCAGGGAAAATTACATTGACCTTTGTGGTAAACGACAAATGCTGTTACACTCTGTTATCATGAATGTCTAGTATGTATTGTTTATGTTGATTTAGAGTGTGTAATTCTGTAAGTGTGACTCATGACTTGTGGCTTTCCTTTGATCCCACATCCATAACTATTGTTTGACTCACGGTCTGACTCAGTGAAAGGGCTGAGTGGCCCGTAGTGGTCAGGCACTTAGAAATATTATATTTGTGTCTATATTTATCTGAGACGTGGTTGTAGTTGATAAGGATCTGGGTTTGTACACCCACATTCAAGAAGTGCCACTCACTCTTTACCAGAACTTCTGGTTTGAGCAAAGTCCCATTTCACAATGGTAAATACATTTAAGGAAAAGCCATAGGAGCTGCCGTTGGTTGCAGCAGTTAGCCTACCTGGCAGATATGTCAGTGAAATGTACAAATGATGAGATGACCACTCCAATTCGACCTTTCCCACCCTGAAATACAAGACAGAGAGAGGAGAGAGAAAGATAGAGACAGAGAGCATTAGCCTATATTACTTTGAGAATGTGACAAAATAAGTTATCTTTTACGCCTTCGAACCCAAGACACATTTCACTGCGTTTTACAATGTTAGAATAAACAAGCTACTTCAATCAACAAAACACAGATTAAACATGTGAAACATTAGCAGGGAAAGCTAACCTCTTGGCTAAGTTTCTAACAACATCACTTCCCGGAAAGATGTTATATTATATTGATAAGATAGACGAGTGACCACTCTAACAATGGAAACACATGTCCTCAAAGATGGAAGGCAGGCGGGAGGAGGCGAGATCATTTAAGCCAATGAGAGCTGGCAGATACAACATTTTACATTTTAGTCCTTTAGCAGACGCTCTTATCCAGAGCGACTTACAGTTACTGAGTGCATACATTATTTTTTAATTTTTGTTACTGGCCCCCCGTGGGAATCGAACCCACAACCCTGCCTTTGCGAACACCATGCTCTACCAACTGAGCTACATCCCTGCCGGCCATTCCCTCCCCTACCCTGGAACAACGCTGGGCCAATTGTGCGCTGCCCCATGGGTCTCCCGGTCGCGGCCGGCTACGACAAAGCCTGGATTCGAACCGGGATCTCTAGTGGCACAGCTAGCACTGCGATGCAGTGCCTTAGACCACTGCGCCACTCGGGAAGAACTCGGATATAAGGTATATCTTTAAAAAGCTTGGGGTCACTTAGAAATGTCCTTGTTTTCGAAAGACAATAAATTTTTATGTCCATTAAAATAACATCAAATTGATCAGAAATACAGTGTAGACATTGTTAATGTTGTAAATGGCTATTGTAGATGGAAACGGCTGATTTTCTATGGAATATATACATACATACACATAAATATACATTTCCTTTTTAAAAATATATTTCCCTTTATTACTTTCCAACCCCACCACCCCTTCCCTAATTGGAGTAAACTAGTGAACAACAATGCTTAGGCCTCTACTTCCAGCTATATACATTTTTATGGACACAGTCAATTTTACAATAATTCTATTTTGTTTGTTTTTACTCCTGAACTTCCTCTACCCTCAACCTCTCTGATCATTTTCATGATGTCCATCCGGTTTGCTTCTATATGCCATATCTTTCTGACTGTGCTCTTTCACAAAAGCTCTCAACCTATAACCTATATACTTATTATGGACACAGTATGCTTACATTATTAGTTATATTGTTGTTATTAGTTGTTGTTAGTTGCTATTAGTCCCATCCTTCAACTCCATTCAACACCACCCATCTATCTCTTAACACCATCCATATTGGATTTCTATTTGCCATATATTTTTCAACTGTACTGTGACGTTTAAAAAAAGTTCTGAACCTTTCTATTCTCATTGTTTCTAAAGATTGTAAATAGAAAATTTTTTTTTTTGCTAAAAGTATTATTATATTATTGATCGATTGACTATGACTTTTCAGATCACCCAGTAATGCTATCTGCAGGGTTAGCTCCAGGTAAATATTGCAATCCTTTAGCCATTCCTGGACCTATGTCCAAAAACAAGTACCAAAACAAATGATCTAATGATTCTGTCTCTTCGCAGCAAAATCTGCAGAGCTGGGAAGATTGTATCCCCCATATAAATAACATTCTATTGGTAGCAAGAATTTTATATAATAATTTAAATTGAAAAATTCAAACTTTTGAATCCGGTGTCGTTTTGCGTATCAGTTCCTAAACACTATGCCATGGGATCGGTATGTCAAAAATCTCTTCCCAACTATTTTGCAATCTATATGGGATGGCTGTCAATCCTTTGGTCCTTAAATTAAACTGGTATACTTTGTTATTTATCACAGTTTTCTTTAACCAATTATGTTCTTTAATGCAAGGCCGACAGACAAGTTCCTTACATTTTCCCCCTTCCACTTTCCTCTTCCATTTTTGCGGTAATGCTGCAATTATTTGGTTGTAATTTTGGGTAGAGCAGACATTTCCATATGTTTTTGTTAGCTGCATGTGCGACATAACTCCACCAGTCCTACCGATGATAACATTTACGAAGATTACACCTTTTTTAAACATTTTGTCAATTTTTTATTTTTTTTAATCAATTAGTATATTTGAGTTTAACCACAATATTTGTTGCATTATTTGTTCTGTGGTTTCTGGAGGATTAAATTGAAGTTGCAACCAGCTTTCTATGGCTTGTTTTAGAAATAGTGATATTTGGGAGATGATTTCCTTTTCAAATAACTGAAAGTGTGAGGTTGTAATCTGAATAAAGGGAAAAAGGCCATTCTTGAACATTGGGTGAGACAATCTTACTAATTTGCTAGAGAACCAGTTCGGATTTAAGTATAACTTTTGTATGACTGAAGCTTTTAGTGATAGGTCTAATGCTTTAATATTTAATAATTTCTGTCCTCCGAATTCATATTCATTATATAAATAGGCCCGTTTAATTTTGTCTGGCTTGCCGTTCCAAATAAAATTGAATATTTTTTTCTCATAAAATTTAAAAAACTGTTCACTAGGCGTAGGCAAGACCATAAGCAAATAGGTAAACTGGGATAATACTAAAGAATTAATCAAGATGATTTTTCCACAAATTGACAGGTATTTACCTTTCCATGGTAGCAAGATCTTATCTATTTTTGCTAACTTTCTATTAAAATGTATTGGAGTGAGATCATTTACAGTGGGGGAAAAAAGTATTTAGTCAGCCACCAATTGTGCAAGTTCTCCCACTTAAAAAGATGAGAGAGGCCTGTAATTTTCATCATAGGTACACGTCAACTATGACAGACACAATGAGGAAAAAAAAATCCATAAAATCACATTGTAGGATTTTTTAATGAATTTATTTGCAAATTATGGTGGAAAATAAGTATTTGGTCAATAACAAAAGTTTCTCAATACTTTGTTATATACCCTTTGTTGGCAATGACAAAGGTCAAACGTTTTCTGTAAGTCTACACAAGGTTTTCACACACTGTTGCTGGTATTTTGGCCCATTCCTCCATGCAGATCTCCTCTAGAGCAGTGATGTTTTGGGGCTGTCGCTGGGCAACACGGACTTTCAACTCCCTCCAAAGATTTTCTATGGGGTTGAGATCTGGAGACTGGCTAGGCCACTCCAGGACATTGAAATGCTTCTTACGAAGCCACTCCTTCGTTGCCCGGGCGGTGTGTTTGGAATCATTGTCATGCTGAAAGACCCAGCCACGTTTCATCTTCAATGCCCTTGCTGATGGAAGGAGGTTTTCACTCAAAATCTCACGAAACATGGCCCCATTCATTCTTTCCTTTACACGGATCAGTCGTCCTGGTCCCTTTGCAGAAAAACAGCCCCAAAGCATGATGTTTCCACCCCCATGCTTCACAGTAGGTATGGTGTTCTTTGGATGCAACTCAGCATTCTTTGTCCTCCAAACACAACAAGTTGAGTTTTTACCAAAAAGTTCTATTTTGGTTTCATCTGACCATATGACATTCTCCCAATCCTCTTCTGGATCATCCAAATGCACTTTAGCAAACTTCAGACGGGCCTGGACATGTACTGGCTTAAGCAGGGGGACACGTCTGGCACCTCAGGATTTGAGTCCCTGGCGGCGTAGTGTGTTACTGATGGTAGGCTTTGTTACTTTGGTCCCAGCTCTCTGCAGGTCATTCACTAGGTTCTGGGATTTTTGCTCACCGTTCTTGTGATCATTTTGACCCCACGGGGTGAGATCTTGCGTGGAGCCCCTGATCGAGGGAGATTATCAGTGGTCTTGTATGTCTTCCATTTCCTAATAATTGCTCCCACAGTTGATTTCTTCAAACCAAGCTGCTTACCTATTGCAGATTCAGTCTTCCCAGCCTGGTGCAGGTCTACAATTTTGTTTCTGGTGTCCTTTGACAGCTCTTTGGTCTTGGCCATAGTGGAGTTTGGAGTGTGACTGTTTGAGGTTGTGGACAGGTGTCTTTTATACTGATAACAAGTTCAAACAAGTGCCATTAATACAGGTAACGAGTGGAGGATAGAGGAGCCTCTTAAAGTTGAAGTTACAGGTCTGTGAGAGCCAGAAATCTTGCTTGTTTGTAGGTGACCAAATACTCATTTTCCACCATAATTTGCAAATAAATTCATAAAAAATCCTACAATGTGATTTTCTGGATTTTTTTTCCCTCATTTTGTCTGTCATAGTTGACGTGTACCTATGATGAAAATTACAGGCCTCTCTCATCTTTTTAAGTGGGAGAACTTGCACAATTGGTGGCTGACTAAATACTTTTTTCCCCCACTGTATTTTATTTGGGATATGTATTCTGAATATATCCACATCACCATCAGACCATTGTATTGGTAAACTACATGGTAATGTACATTTTTTGTTTTTTAGTGATCCAATACGTAATATAGTACATTTATCATAGTTTGGTTGTAATTCAGAGAGGTTACAAAATGTATCTAGATCCTCTATGAGGCTGTGGAGGGTTCAAGTTGTGGATTTAAAAGAAAACATGAATCATCAGCGTACAATGACACCCTGGATTTTAAGCCCTGGATTTCTAATCCTTTGATGTTATTGTTGGATCTGATTTGAATAGCTAACATCTCGATGGCCATAATAAATAGATATGCCGATAGTGGACAACCTTGTTTCACTCCTCTTGACAGTTTAAAACATTCTGAGAAATAGCCATTATTTACTATTTTACACATAGGGTTACTATACATGATTTTAACCCATTTTATAAGAGATTCTCCAAAATTGAAATGCTCCAGGCATTTATATATAAACCCCAGTCGTACTTTATCAAATGCTTTTTCGAAGTCTGCTATGAATAGCAGGCCTGGATTCCCAGATTTTTCATAGTGTTCTATTGTTTCCAGTACTTGCCTTATATTATCTCCAATGTATCTTCCATGTAAAAAACCTGTCTGATTAGAATGAATAATGTCCGACAATACCTTTTTAATTCTATGAGCTATACATTTTGCTAGAATTTTTGCATCACAACACTGAAGTGTAAGGGGCCTCCAATTTTTTTAATGGACTGGATCTTTGTATTTTCCACATGTATCCTGTTTCAGTAATAATGAAATTAGACCTTCTTCTTCAGTGTCTGATAATCTACTATTTACATACTGGATCTTTGTATTTTCCACTTGTATCCTGTTTCAGTAATAATGAAATCAGACCTTCTTCTTGGGTGTCTGTAGTCCTCTGTAGCTCAGCTGGTAGAGCACGGCGCTTGTAACGCCAAGGTAGTGGGTTCGATCCCCGGGACCACCCATACACAAAAATAAATGTATGCACGCATGACTGTAAGTCGCTTTGGATAAAAGCGTCTGCTAAATGGCATATATATATATATATATAATCTACTATTTACATAGGAGTGGTTAAAACATGCTAATAACGGTCCTCTGAGCATATCAAAAAAAGATTTGGCATACATCGACTGGTATACCATCCAACCCTGGAGTTTTCCCGGACTTAAAGTCTTTAATTGCATCCAGAAGTTCCTCCTCTGTAATTTCACCGTTCACATCAGTCTTTCTGTATGGCTGTTAATTTTACATTATCAATAGAAAAAAAATCTCTACAAATAGCTTCAGTTAGAAGAGATGGAGGTGACTGAAACGGAAACATATGCTTAAAGTACTTTGTTTCCTCCTTAAAAATATCATTTGGTGAATCATGGGTGACTCCGTCATTTGTAACCAGTTTCAGTAAATTATTTTTGATAGCATTCCTATGCTGAAGATTTAAAAATAAGTTGGTGCATTTTTCCCCATATTCCATCCAGTTTGCTATTTTTTATAATATATTACACTTGATCTTTCTTGAATAACTTTCTCAATTTCTTTTAGTTTTTCCTCTAATTTATTCTGAGCCTCTATGTTACAGTTTCTATTGCTATCTATCTGTTCTGTTAGACTTTCTATTTCCTTTGTTAGTATGGACTCTTTTGACCTAAATTGCTTTTGTTTTTGAGATGAGTACTGAATTGCATGGCCTCTAAAGGCACATTTAAAGGTGTCCCATACAATAAGGGGATTTGCTGTACCTATGTTATGTCGGACAAAATCAGTTATGAATTCCTCTGTCCTAGTTAAAAACAAGTTATCATCCAATAGGCTTTGATTAAATTTCCAATATCCTCGCCCACATGGAAATTCAGTAAGAATAATGTATATGCCAATTATATGATGGTCCGACCGCCCATCTTAATCTTTTATTATTATTGGCCAGTCTGAGATATGGCTTTTTCTTTGCAACTCTGCCTAGAAGGTCAGCATCCCGGAGTCGCCTCTTCACTGTTGACGTTGAGACTGGTGTTTTGCGGGTACTATTTAATTTAACTTTAATCAGCACAACAGTTTTCAGCTGTGCTAGCATAATTGCAAAAGGGTTTTCTAATGATCAATTAGCCTTTTAATCTCGTTCCCAGACACTTCCGCCCAAATGCGCTGTGCGCAATAGCCTGGGGACGAGGTTTCTTCAGGGAAGAATGACTGACCCCTCTCATTGAAGTCACAGAAGTTCAAGGCCGACCGCAGTACTGCAGGCATTGTTAGCAGAAAACAGGATCCCCCATTATAGTGAACAGAAAAATGGCAACCTTCGTGGTGAATCGTCTTGTAAAAAATGTAATACATCAAAGACAATCATGGTACCAATAATTGCTTTTAATACACCAGATGTATGTCCTTGAACCGATTATTTTAAAATCGCACACAGAAGAAGTTATAAGGATAATTGAGTTACTAATGGCAGCCTGCAGTACCCCGGTGAGCCTTCAACTTCAGTTACTCAATGAGAAGGGGTAGCACTGAGCTAGCCTGCAACGTCACATTCTGGAGTAGCTCAAACTGCACATGTTATGTGTCCATGAGAAACATATTAATCGACTTCATTTGGCTTCAATATGCTATTGAGTCTTCACATAGGAATGAATATTGTCACGTGATCGATGGCTTTGTCCATTCATATATACAGTCATTGGGTTACTTCCCGGCTAGCTGCTAGCAGAAAGGAAGAGGCGACCATCTTTGCTGCTAGCCAGCTAACCCCACGCGATCATCTTCGCCACAGTGCTCCCTCCTGCTCTGTCTTGAAAATCAGCTTTGAATAGGTAAGTCAATGTAAAGTGAAACAAGTGAGGCCAGAAGAATACTGAGAGATAATGAAAGGGTGATGATGACAGAGTGATGATGATGGTGCTCACCCTGCAGTGTATGACCACCACGTGTAGAGGGTCAGCATTGAGCCAGTTTTCCATGGCCTTACAGATGGTACAGATCTTATCCAGAGGAGGGGCATGCAGGTCAGGCCAGCCCGTGTCCAGAGTCTGTAAACACACACAAGATAAGTCACACATACACATACGCACTCTGTAACACCTACAGTGCATTCGAAAAGTATTCAGGCCCCTTGACTTTTTCCACATTTTGTTACATTACAGCCTTATTCTAAAATTGATTAAATTGTTTTATTTTCTTCATCAATCTAAAAAACTGAAATATCACATTTACATAAGTATTCAGACCCTTTACTAAGGAATTTGTTGAAGCACCTTTGGCAGCGATTACAGCCTCAAGTCTTCTTGGGTATGACGCTACAAGCTTGGCACACCTGTATTTGGGGAGTTTGTCCCATTCTTCTCTGCAGCTCTGTCAGGTTGGATGGGGAGCGTCTCTGCACATGTACTTTCAGGGCTCTCCAGAGATGTTAGATCGGTTTCAAGTCCGGGCTCTGGCTGGGCCACTCAAGGACATTCAGAGACTTGTCCCGAAGACACTCCTGCGGGCTGTCATGTGCCTTTTACTGAGGAGTGACTTCTGTCTGGCCACCCTACCATAAAGGCCTGATTGGTGGAGTGCTGCAGAGATGGTTGTCCTTCTGGAAGCCACTCCTGCGTTGTCTTGACTGAGTGCTTAGGGTCATTGTCCTGTTGGAAGGTAAACCTTCGCCCCAGTCTGAGGTCCTAAGCACTCTGGAGCAGGTTTTCATCAAGGATTTCTCTGTACTTTGCTCCGTTCATCTTTCCCTCGATCCTGACTAGTCTCCCAGTCCCTGCCTCTGAAAAATATCCCCACAGCATGATGCTGCTACCACCATGCTTCCCTGTAGGGATGGTGCCAGGTTTCCTCCAGATGTGACTCTTGGCATTCAGGCCAAAGAGTTCAATCTTGGTTTCATCAGACCAGAGAATCCTGTTTCTCATGATCTGAGAGTCCTTTAGGTGCCTTTTGGCAAACTCCAAGAGGGCTGTCATGTGCCTTTTACTGAGGAGTGGCTTCCGTCTGGCCACTCTACCATAAAGGCCTGATTGGTGGAGTGCTGCAGAGATGGTTGTCCTTCTGGAAGGTTCTCCCATCTCCACAGAGGAACTCTGGAGCTCTATCAGTGTGACCATTGGGTTCTTGGTCACCTCCCTGACCAAGGCCCTTCTCCCCCAATTGCTCAGTTTGGCCAGGCAGCCAGCTCTAGGAAGAGTCTTGGTGGATCCAAACTTCTTCCATTTAAAAATGATGGAGGCCACTGTGTTCTTGGGGACCTTCAATGCTGCAGAAATGTTTTGGTACCCTTCCTCAGATCTGTGCCTCGACACAATCCTTTCTCAGAGCTCTACGGACAATTCCTTCGACCTCATGGCTTGGTTTTTGCTCTGACATGCACTGTCAACGGAGGGACCTTATATAGACAGGTGTGTGCCTTTCCAAATCATGTCCAATCAATCGAATTTACCACAGGTGGACTCCTATCAAGTTGTAGAAACATCTCAAGGATGATCAATGGAAACAGGATGCACTTGAGCTCAATTTTGACTCTCATATCAAAGGGTCTGAATACTTATGTAAATAAGGTGTTTCAGTTTTTTATTTTTAATAAATTAGCAAACATTTCTAAAAACCTATTTTTGCTTTGTCATTATGTTGTATTTTGTGTAGATTGATGAGGCATTTTTTTTATTTAATCCATTTTAGAATAAGGCTGTAACGTAACAAAATGTGGAAAAAGTCAAGGGGTCGGAATACTTTCCAAATGCACTGTATACTACCTAATTAGCATGTGCAGAGTCTCCAGAAATCCTTGAGACAGCCTTTCTGAATCAAAGGGTTATCTAGTGATACATTTGTTCAAACGGATGGGTCATCCACGAAATGAGAGCCTTTTGCATCCCTTTGATATTGTGGGTATAAATTGTCCACCAATATTACATTTTAAAAGCCTGTTATTCAATTAAATGCCCTTTATTATAAACTGGTGGGTCAAGCCCTGAATGCTGATTGGCTGACAGCTGTGGTATATCAGACCATATACCATGGGTATGACAAAACATGTATTTTTACTGCTCTAATTACGTTGGTAACCAGTTTAGAATAGCAATAATGCACCTCGGGGGTTTGTGATATATGGCCAATATACCACGGCTAAGGGCTGTGTCCAAGAGTGTGCAAAGCTGTCATCAAGGCAAAGGGTGCTTACTTTGAAGAATCTCAAAAATAAAATATTATTTTGATTTGTTTAACACTTTATTGGTTACTACATGATTCCATATGTGTTATTTCATAGTTTTGATATCTTCACTAATTCTACAATGTAGAAAATAGTAAAAAGAAAGAAAAACCCTGGAATGAGTAGGTGTGTCCATATTTTTGCATGGTACTGTACATCACATTGAGAATATAATAAATCTGATTTTGAATATGAATAGACTGCTAAAGTGGCAAAATTCTGCATTTTAACATGTGCCTCTGTGACTTCCCGGAAGATTTTGTGGTGGAAAACTGAGCGGGTGGAGCATAACACATCAAACCTGTTACCTTTTTTTTTGTTGCTTGCATTCAATTGCCACTCCCTGTTGCATACAACAAGCTTCCATTTCCCCTGTCAAAGGGGAATTTATGGCTGACATAAGATGAATTCGTCAACCCTGTTACTTTATTTGGCACTTAATAGGGACTTACTATAGTCATTTTTTTATTTAACCTTTTGAGATGGAAAAACATGTTTTTTATTAAGTTAAACATGCTCTTTATGACAGAATGTCAAAATGAGGTGAAATCAATCCGTTACACATCTCAAAAAGCAACGAATCGGTGGAACAACCCGGATATGGTTGAGATCCATGTTGTCATTGATATTCATTGATTTCTGGCAAATACAGCTTAGTCGATCTGCGGCTTGTTGATACCTGTATGTCTTCGTGTCCTGCCCTATGTTTTGTTTATGTTGCACATTCTGAAAAATACAGCATGGTTGCTTTACCTTAGGGTTCATTTTAGAGAGATCATGTCTCTTCTCCGACAGGTTGATAATCTAGAAAGAAAAAAGATTCAGGTATGTATGCATGAATAAATTCATTTATTTTGCTATTTAATTCTATGCCTTTTATATTACTCTTTTTAAAATGTATCTATTTCAAACGTTTTCATTCTTTCCAATATGAACTAAAAAAAGATTCTGTACTTCACACTACTATTCTGTACTTCACACTTAAAAGATGGTTGTGCTGAGGTTAAAATATGCTATTTTCCTGTTATCATCACTTCTCTAAAACCCCCCAAAATGTGCCAATGACACAGGGTCACTTGGTCAATAACAGTCACAATTTAAACTTCAAATCAAGAAAACAAACTTTAGATAAACTTTAATGATCTCACTCTAATATACAATGCATTCGTAAAGTATTCAGAAACCTTGACCTTTTCCACATTTTGTTACGTTACAGCCTTATTCTAAAATTGATTAAATTGTTTTCCCCCCCCTCATCAATCTAAACACAATACCCCATAATGACACAGCAAAAACAGGTTTTTATGAATTTTAGCAAATTTATGAAAAATTAAAAAACTGAAATAAAGCATTTACATAAATATTCAAACCCTTTACTCAGTACTTTGCTGAAGCACCTTTGGCAGCGATTACAGCCTCAAGTCTTCTTGGGTATGACGCAACAAGCTCGGCACACCTGTATTTGGGGAGTTTGTCCCATTCTTCTTTGCAGATCCTCTCAAGCTCTGTCAGGTTGGATGTGGAGCGTCGCTGCACAGGTATTTTCAGGTCTCTCCAGAGATGTTCGATCGGGTTCAAGTCCGGGCTCTGGCTGGGCCACTCAAGGACATTCAGTGACTTGTCCCGAAGCCACTCCTGCGGGCTGTCATGTGCCTTTTACTGAGGAGTGGCTTCTGTCTGGCCACCCTACCATAAAGGCCTGATTGGTGGAGTGCTGCAGAGATGGTTGTCCTTCTGGAAGTTTCTCCCATCTCCACAGAGGAACTCTGGAGCTCTGTCAGAGTGACCATTGGGTTCTTGGTCACCTCCCTGACCAAGGCCCTTCTACCCCGAATGATCAGTTTGGCCGGGCGGCCAGCTCTAGGAAGAGTCTTGGTGATTCCAAACTTCTTCCATTTAAGAGTGATGGAGGCCACTGTGTTCTTGGGACCTTCAATGCTGCAGTAATGTTTTGGTACCCTTCCCCAGATCTGTGCCTCGACACAATCCTGTCTCGAAGCTCTACGGACAATTCCTTCGACCTCATGGCTGGTTTTTGCTCTGACATGTACTGTCAACTGAGGGACCTTATATAGACAGGTGTGTGCCTTTCCATATCATGTCCATTCAATTGAATTTACCACAGGTGGACTCCAATCAAGTTGTAGAAACATATCAAGGATGATCAATGGAAACAGGATGCAACTGAGCTCAATGTCGAGTCTCATAGCAAAGGGTCTGAATACTTATGTAAATAAGGTATTTCTGTATTTTTAATTATGGGATATTGTGTGTAGATTGATTGTGTGTACATTTTTTATTTAATCCATTTTAGAATAAGGCTGTAACGTAACAAAATGTGGAAAAAGTCAAGGGATCTGAATACTTTCCGAATGCACTGTAGATCTGACAACAAGAGGTCAGACACACCGCAGTAAAGCCTACAACCCAGTAATAGAGGACTAGGTTTTTAAGCTTGAAAGGACTAGGTATCAGTGAGATGAAGGATGTTGTGAGACACATGGACTAGCGCCTAACTGACCAGGTAGTTATCGGCGTGCTTGGACTTGAGCATCCGTGTGACATCCTTCAGGATGTGGAGGTAGATCTCCTCTGAGCATGCCCGGGGGAAGGATACAGCGATGATCCGCTCCGTCACATAAGTCAGGTCAAGTTCGTATCCCTCCTCCATCTTCACATCTGGGTTTTCTTCCTTTTGGGGAGAGAGAAAGAGAGATGCCTCAGGCCCTGCGATACAATTTCCTCTTCACATTGACAGTATGTCTGTGTTTTCACTGTAGTCAGTGTTTGATGAGCAAAGTCCTTGTTGTCAGCAATTGTGACCGGCCACCTCACTGATACCTTTAGAATAGGAACACAGGCCTACTGTAGGTTGTATGACAAAGAAGGACGCCTGTTTACATACAACTGTTTGTCTGCACAGGTGCCACACTGACTGCCATTATGACTCATGGAGATGTTGATGAAACAATATTTCCACATTTAGTGTTTACTTTAAGTGTATTCCTAATTTCTATTAACTCCATGTAAAAAGTAACTGCTTTTGAATATGCAAACAAGGAAATAGTCACCAACTGATCAAGTTGACACAGTAAAAACAAGACAGACAGCAACAATGAAACAAAAATAAACTTCTGAAGACTCTGTAAGAATTCCGGTTGAAACCAGTCGTGTGCAGTGTGCTGTGTATCCCTGAAATATGGCGTGTTCCTGTGACCTCATGACCATGAAACTTCGTGGTATCGGCTAGAGAGAGAGAGGAGAGAGAGCCCGAGAGAGAGAGAGAGAGAGAGAGAAGAGAGAGATAGAGAGAGAAGAGAAAGATAGAGAGAGAGAGAGAGAGGAGAGAGAGAGAGAGATAGAGAGAAGAGAGTCTAAGAGAGAGAGGAGAGAGCAGAGAGAGAAGAGGAGAGAGAGAGAGAATAGAGAGAGAGAGGATATATAGAGAACTCTTCCCTCCCTTTCCCTTCCTTTTTCTTTCCCCCCACACATCTCTTATCTAGCCTATCCATTTGTAATCTGTGTTCTGGGCTTCTGGCCTAGCGCTCTGTCTTGCCTGTCAGCTGGGAAGTGATTCTTTAAACAACAGGCAGGCTGTTAACTGGCATCCCTACAAAGATAATCCATCCAAAATACCAAAATACAATTCTCCTAGGAATCATTTTGACATCAGAATCATATTATATTTCTATGTCATTCTATCAGTTTCCCAATCTCACTGACAACAACAAGAATCAAACTAAGGAATCAAACCGAGTACATTTTAATAAGTTCTCAAACAGTATTGATTTCATTGCCCAACAGGGCATGGCTCTGTAAAAATTTAATAACAAAACAACAAAACTCTCAATATGTACATGTAAATCTATTTCATGCATGTTCTCCATCTTAATCTAGACCAGCACGATGATGACAAATAGTCAGCTTGGAATTTTCTGTTCCCACCCCAACACCACACACACATAGATAGGCCTATAGAAAAGGGGAAAATCGAAATGTAGTATTCCAGTCGAGTCACCTGCTTGTTTGTTGTTATTAACAGTGAAAAGGCCTTGGTCTGTCCCAGTGGGGAATGTGCCTGTTAATTAAGTCTGAAGTGACTGCAGGCTAAAGTCAAACACTTTGAAGGACTCCAGAGAGAGGGGCCAGGGTTGTAAACCAGGGACCCATGGCCTACTGCACTCAGGGGGCTTAAACCACCCCTCTGAGTGGAATAAAAGGGGGCTATGTGTGTGTGTGTATGTGAGAGGGTCATTGCTAGGGGAAACAGACTGGGGGGTAATGGAGCTGGGTGGTTGGGGGTAAGAGAGGGTGTATGTGTAGGGGTTATGTGTGTGTGTGTGTGTGCGTGTGTGTGTGTAAGGGGTGTCACAAGGGTCTGCAGTTGGTGCTAATAGTGGGGTTAGTCTATTTCCCCAAGGAGCTGCAGGCAAAACTTTTGACTAATGAGAAATTAATGAACAGGTCGACAGGCCAAAACAGTTGTGTTTTCAGTGGCGAAGGGGACTGTGTGAGAGGGAGGCTGGACTGGACTGTGTTTTAGCATAGTGACAGAGAGAGGAGAGGGATTCTGGTAACCACCAGTACTTAACCTCTGAATGACTCTAAGGTGTTAGGAAAAGTTGTTTCAATAAAGTTATTCAAAAGCTGAGGTTAAAGATCTGTTTGTGTTTAATAGTCTACCCTCGCTAAGGTATTTGAAAGAATCAATGTGCGCAAAGTCTTCCCTTATCCCATGAAGTTCTATGGAGGGTAGGCCTAAATTATAATAATGTTTAATTACTTTATAAACAGGCTATCCTACTTTTATTCAATTGAGACATTTTAATTTCCAAAACATAGTCTATTTGATGCATCCAAATATATGTCAGTCTACCTGATGACAAACGTACATTTCAATGTGAGCACAGACATGTGAAAGAAGTTAGGGAAACCCACTCCTGTATTACATTTAATCCTAAAACTCCTTAACTTTATACTCAATCACATATTCAATATAAATCATCCAGACATACGCTACGGTAGTTCTTTTCAACTCGGCCCCTCTCTCCCATAGTCCCATTCTGTCTCTCATCACTCAAGTCAGGCAAACAGCAGAGACTTGCCCCAGCACGCACTACAGCTAATTGCTCTTTAATTTAGGGCATGGTTCAGGGCATGGTGCTCGGCCACAACGGCATAACACAACAACCAGCCAAGGCAGCCGTGCCAAGGATCGCAAAGCTCAGCCCACAGCCCACCCATGGCACAATGACTGGGAGTAGACAGTAGAGCAATGGTGGAAGAAAAGGGGTAGTAGAGCTAAGCTAAGTGGTGTTTGAAAAAGTAGGTTGCCAGCAGACTCCATAGAGAACAAGCTGAAACAGGTCTGCTCGGTTAGGATGCTAGGGATTTAGGTGTTACTCTGGATTCCCTGGCTGACACAGCCCCTGAAGGTATGGGTAAAAGCCAGGCTGGGCTGTGGTGCGTGGGCGCTGTCAGCAGGGCTTAGATGAGCATAGATCACTCAGCACTGAGACCTGGGACTGCATCTCAATAGTCTCCAATGGCTTCCTTTCTTTCAGCCATTATGAAGGAGAGGATCGAGGTGAAGAGGTGCCACCTCAGAGTATTGACACACAGCCCTGATCTCTCCTGGGAACCACACCCCTCAGCTGGCTGTAGTTGACACTGCATGGAATCTTCCATCATAAACTGCAGGGGAGGCAACAGAGGAAACACTGAGCTGTTGACATACTGGGGAAAAGAAATCCACCCACTAGTAATCAATGTTGGTCAGCCTCTGGGAATTGAAGCATGATCCAATCATGTGAACAGTGATACCATGTTTATTTTTTGGGTGGTGACAACAGTTGCCAAAAACCCAGCATTCTGGCCTGTCACAAATAATAAAGTAATCTAAGGGACTGTTCGAAAATTACTTGAGGGGTGGGTCCAAAATAGGGGAGGCGGTGTAACCTTTTTTTGTTGCTTTGGGGAGGGTTGTATGTCTTTTGTATTGGGCACAGGGGAGGGTAGTGCGTTTTTCCCATGGTTTACATTAGGTGTTTTGTGGGTTTTCCTAGAGCCAGTTTAGGGGGACCATAACATTTTGAACCTTAATCGATGCAAGGTGGATTTTTCAATAGAATTATGATGGTTCAACGCATTAAATGCTTCAGCTTAGGTTTGGCATATTTCCCTGTTCAAATAAATCATAAATCAATTCCAAAAGTCTTGTTACAATGTTTGCATCAGGGGCGTCAATTGGATATGGCAGGGTATGGCAGTCCCCATACCCTAGCTTAACACCAACAATTTAAAATACATTTTAGTCATTTAGCAGACGCTCTTATCCAGAGCGACTTACAGGAGCAATTAGGGTTAAGTGCCTTGCTCAAGGGCACATTGACAGATTTTTCACCTAGACGGCTCGGGGATACGAACCAGTGTCCTTTCGGTTACTGGCCCAACATGCTTAACCGCTAGGCTACTAAAATCATTCCAATCCGTAATTAAAAGGCAAATGCAGTTTAGCAGAATTAAAGGGCTGACTTTAAGACAATGGGGACAACTGGGAGTAGGAGGGAAGGCTATTTGTATGGCTGGCTTTATGGAGAGCTCGATGCAGCTGCAGCACAAGTTTTTCTCAAAACAGTGCAGAGGTAAAGATGGCTGTAGTAGATGGCTTTGGCTAGGTAACTGCTTGCGTGTGCACAAATGTTTTATGGTCTTTATAGTACATGTAATTTAACTGTAAAAATGTACCTTTAAATGTGTCATGGACACAACCAGGCATGATGTTTTCATCTGACTGTCAAAGAAATCACTTCAAACCGTAGGTTAAGTTCGTCTACTCCAAAATAAGTCCAGCATCCGAACAGAGCACTGTGCACCCGCCATTTGAATGGAAAGGGACATCTATTACAAACACCATCAGTGTAATGAACTTCAGCCTACAAAGTCGCATGTATTCATAAGAATATACAATGACAAAATAAACAAACTTAAAAAATAATTTCTCATTCATGTGTATCCATGTTTCATAATTGAATCTATTTCACCAAAGAAAGCATCCGAGCGAGGCAAACAGCGCCCCTCTGTCTTAGTATTTGTAGCCCATGTATCTGATGCTGTCTGGCCAAACTTAATATGACATGTCCAGACAGCATCAGATACATGGGCTACACATACAGAGGGGCACTGTTTCGCTCACTCAGATGCTTTCTCTGGTGAGATTGATGAGTCTTGCTGTCATTGCATGTCTTGTTCAAAATGATCAATATTCAGAGACGACCTCCAAATATGTTATGACTATGCTTTCAACCATCAAAAAGTGCTTTAAAAGCCATTTCAAACCATTTAAAACCACAGGAAAATTAAAATAGGAATATAATGTCAGATATTTTGTTTATTTATACAACAGATTGTGTTATCACTGTGCTTTATCTAATAGCAGAACCAAATGACCTGGATTGCAGTAAAGATTACATTAAAAGTATATGGTACAATTGATCAATGCCGTTCGAGATTCTGCACAGATTATTACAGCAATTGTGAAGATCTCCACAGACCTGCGATGACCTCCACAGACCATGCTATCTTGAACATGCACTGTTTATATGATTACATAAGAAGAAATGTATTGTTAATGTAACCTCAAAACGTGGCCATGGATGTGATACTCATTTT